GGGGAAGAGGGGGGGCAGCGAAAAGAGAATGGTAGGAGAAAGGTGGTAGAGAGGGGAGAAAGGGACGGCGTGAAAAAACGGGGTAGAGAGGAGGAAAGGAGAAAGGGAACAGGAGGGAGACGGGGTAGAGAGGAGGAAAGGAGAGAGGGAGCAGGAGGGAGGGAAGAACGTTCGCTAGAGAAATGGGAAGGTTGAACAAAAAACGAGAAAAGCAACAAATGGAAAAAAGTCGTTTACCAGCAGCAGCCCTTGACGCTCTAGTTCGCCCGCAAAGCAGAAGCATAGCAAGCAGATTGACGCTTCCAGGGATCCCAACAATTTCGTCCAGACATTCCCGTCCATTTGCAGAGTGTGACCAGAGAGCACACACAGCCTCCTCTCTCTCTTCAATTGGCGAGTCTAGGCCAAGCATCCGGACGAAGAGTGGAACGTAGCCCTCCTGAATACGAGAGGAAGCTTCTGGGATTTCGGAGCACCCCTTCTTCTCACCATGCTGACACTTGGAATCTTCAGATTCTCGCAGCATCGAAGTGGTCCCCACATCAATACCCTCCTCGCCGCTTCCCACTTCAAACTCCGTCTCCAGTAGATTGTCCATGGTTGTCCCACATGGCAATCCACCTGCCTGTCCCACATCAGGTACCACAACGCATACAGAGTATTGGTACTCAGTTTGTTGGGGAAGGGGGGGGGGGGGGACCCTGAGAATTACTGTAGGGGGTACTATAGATCATCAATAATTAATTAAAAAAAAAGAATTACAACAATGGCCAAAGTGGACGGGCGGGTTAAAGTGAATTAGCTTGTGTTTTGGTGTAAGGACAGAGATCCTGGAGTCCTGTGATTCCATAGCTTGGGCCCAAAACACAAGTTGTTTTGGGCCCAAGTCATTTTGAAGCGAAGGAGGGTAATGCTCCCATTACCACATCGTCCGGGTCGACTGTGAGGAGCCCGGCCTCTTGTTCTTCTTCTCTAATACAATAAAGGAAGAAGCGGGTGTCGCGTGACGGTGTCAGGCGGCCACAAGTAGTGCGCCGCCTGAAAACGGCAGTTTAGGGGTTTAGGCTCAGGGTTAAGTCCGCGTTTTGACAAGTGCTTTGGGATGACCGGGCTGC